GTAAGGGAAATGCAGATCAAAACAACAATGAGATACCACCTAACCCCAGTCAGAATGGCGAAGATTAAAAAAACAAAGAATGATAAGTGTTGGTGGGGATGTGGTGAAAGGGCAACTCTCTTACACTGCTGGTGAGGATGTAAATTAGTCCAGGCACTGTGGAGAACAATTTGGAGATTCCTCAAAAATCTACAAATAGAACTGCCATATGATCCAGCAACCCCATTTCTTGACATCTACTCAAAGGACAGAAGAATTTCTCATTGGAAAAGTGCTTGCACATCAATGTTTATTGCGGCACTTTTCACGGTTGCTAAGACATGGAACCAACCCAAATGCCCCCGTATGCTGAATGGATTGAAAAACTGTGGCACATATACTCTATGGAATACTATTCAGCCATTAAGAACAACGAAACCCCGGCTTTTGACAGAAAGTGGAAGAATATGGAAGATTTACTGCCTAGTGAAGCAAGCCAGGCTATGAAGGAGAGACTCTGTATGTCCCCACTTAATATATACCGAATGTCCACACTCAATAACTGAAACTGACGGGCTAAAGGATGTACAAACACAAGAGGTGGATGTGAATGCCAGATGTGGTGTGTGTGGAGGAGTGGGGCCAGGGGAAGAACATTTGGAGGAGGGATATGAAGACAGTATTGTTGAAACAGGGAGGTAGTGTTGTCATATTTTGATCAATTCGACCAAGGAGAAATGTTCATATATTGAAATGATCACCTTGTAAGCTAAATAATGTGATTGAATGTATTAAAGAATGAAAAAAAATTTCTCAACAACTTTTCTTTTTTTTTTTTTTTTTTTTTAAATTTACCAGAGGGTATATACACTTGTCAGAGAGTGGGGACACTTGCCAGGGAGAACAGAGGAGGGAGAGGGAGAAAGTCGCCCCCCAGGGCATGGTTATGCTTCAGTCCTGTCTCTTCCATTTTCTCCCTTGTCCGGGGATTTTGGGGCACACATGCACACATTTCCAACATGTTTCTCAAGTTGCCAGGTTTGGGACTTGAACTGTGCAATCAGCCATGTGGGATCCAGCTTTCTTAATCACCAGGCCATGAGTTGGCCCAATTTCTCAACAACTTCTATGAGGTGTCTTTCTAGCCCAATACCCTTTTACCACCCTAACAGATTCCTTAAGTCTTGATAGAAATCATGCATCCTTTCTAACTTTAATTATAGGGTGCGTTGTTTTGTAAATAGAAATAGTACAGTAAAGCTGAATTCACAGTAGCTTTTTGTGGATCACACATGCATTCTGAACTACTTTCCACTCAACCCCTAAGAAAAAAATAGAAAACACAGTGAATTTTGTTTGTGGTTTGTGGTAAATAAAAGAATTAGGATAGATATCAATCCTGTGATTCAGTAGGCATTCTAATGTGCCAACATTGCCATCTAAAGTTTCTGATAATTGTTATTTTCCCCTTGCTCTTTATTTATACTTTGCTCCATTATTTTTTTCCTATGTCTGGAAATTCTTTTCTGATATCATGCATTTTTTTTTTTGGAGAGGTTTTTGCTACAGGGTGCATGTGCTCGCCAGACAGACAGAGAGAGGCAGAGAGACAGAAAGTGAGAAATCACCCCCCAGGGGGGGATGGACACGCTGTAAGGACACGCTGCAAGGACACGCTGCAATCCCTTCTCCTCCATTCTCCTCTCGGGATCTTGGGCACGCACGCACATGCGCCCAGCATGAGTTTTAAGCCACCAGGTCCGGGTCACGAACCATGGTCGACCACGTGGGAGTCCAGCGACATAGCCATTACGCTAACTGCTGGTCCCATGCATTTTTTTCCTTTAATTATTCTCTCATTTTCTCCATAGATGAACCAAAATGTTTCTCACGGCCCTAGGAAGTTTACTTTACCTGCTCCAAGGGAATAAAAATGGGTAGTTTCATATAAAGAATATTTGACCACTGGTATAAATCTGAATTCTAATATCTGCTCTAAAATTAACAAGCTAGGTGAACTTGGGCTATTCATTTCCCCTCAGTGAGTTTAGTCCTTGACATGAAAAACAGCAATAACAATAGTAATATGTAGGTAGTCATGTGGTACTATATCAGATACTGTAGTAAGAACTTCATATAATTTATCTTAGGTAACATATGTTGCAAATGAAAAACCTGAGGCTCAGAGGGGTTAACTTGCACAAGGTTATATAGAGTTTACAATCCAAGTTCTCTCACCTATAACGTATAGGAAGTAGGCTACTTAATTTCTAAAGTTCCTTTGTATGGAAAAAAAAACTAAATAAAAAAAGAGGTTTTATTTTTTCTTTGAAAATCTTTT